TCAAGATACTGGATCACCTAAGTGAAGTTGCCATTTTCCAGCATTATTAACTTTGTTTCAAAGGTGAAGTAACTAGCTGTTTTTGCACTCAAAACAAAGCACTACTCCTTCTTTGGCCAATTCAGAATTCTCGCTTCAAAGGACCTAACTTTGGAGACCTAACTTCCTAACTTTGGAATTAGAAGCCGACCAAAATCTTGTCTTTCATATTTTCGCTTTTAATGGCTGTACTTTCACCAAATATTACTCGGAGCTAAGAAGACGATTCAGGCTCGAATCACTCCTATGAAATCTACAAGGTCTAGGCCATTGACTCATGTAAATAACGTTCGCTAAAGATGTTTTTCTGATATAGTTAATGGAGTGTGGCACCACCCCTAAAAACTGTGGCTGCCACAGCTTTTAAGGTGGTGCCATACCCCACTAACTTACCTTCAAACGGATCAAATACCTGCGTTTTTTATAATGTTAAACTGCTTGACCTTTCTTTTTACATAGCAGAAATTTCATATGAAAACGTTTCTTCAAGAGAAGATATATCGTTTTTCCTTACCTATGCAAAGGTAAAACACTAGTAAAATACTGCGAAAAAATTGGGTTACGGTAACATGCTAAGTCTGCGCTACTACGTGAATCGCAAGGAAAGGCGATACGAATGTGTATAAATGTGTATACTCGATAGCCTAAGCCTCGTAATCTATATTAAAGTGATTTGAGCGTGATTGCCTTCTCTAGCCTGAGGACTTGAAAACGAAAAATGGAACAAACGGGAATTTGGCTTGCTCTTAATTCCTTAATTCGGAGGTCACTTGAAGTAGGATTCCCAATGTGAGCAAAGAAATAGTGGTTCGCTGTATTAAGCGCAAAAAGAAGTCGCTAACTTATCTTTGAAACAAAGTAACATGTTTAAAAACGACCATCTCACTTGGATGGTCCTGCATTTGGAAACCTCAGAATTTGCTGAAACTTGGATCACAGGGGCTATTTTAGCTGCTAATCACAAAACGATGCCTTTATGCTTTATAGATCTTCAATTATGTTTACTGAAAGTATACGATAATGGGTCAAACATCAATTTGCTAGTATTTCATGACGGGCCTATTTGACATTGTTAACGAATATCATGTTATGCGAACAGCGGACGCCTTGATAACGACCCCCCCCCCCCTTCCTGAATCCTCAATACGACCCCCCAGGTGTGGCACGCCACACCCCACGCTTGACCCTGGCCCTGACCCTGGCCCTGACCCACCCAGGGCCTATAGGGTTGTTAGTCTGTGATAATTTCCTGCTTGGAAACAGGAAAGAGGAAATTCAGGGATGTTACACTGAGTGCAAACCGATCTCGAATCTCTTCATCACAGTATGAATGATACAATCAATGATTCCCAGACATATTTCTTGACATAATGCAAATTTGGCACATCATGAATCATTACAAATGCGCTGCGTCCATCGCCTTCGTGTAAAATTTGCGGAGGCAATCGCGTGTTTCGCAACTTTTGCACACGTGTAATAGACTGACGTGTCACTGGTTCGACCTCGAAAATACTCCTTTCGTGCTTCGTGCATTACGCATCGCACTATTTACTCATCACTATACTTTTTGTCATTGTGGGTGTCTACGAACCTACAGAGCGTCTTTTTGCTATGATCCGTCTGGCTGTGGACGATCCCATTGAAAGAATGGGGAAGTTTACCAACGTCTGGCTCCTTTGGGACGCTTTTTCTGTCCCTCCGACAGACGACTAGGTTTCTTGCAGTTTGTGCAAGTGCAAATTTTTCTTTTTTGAGGATGTCATGAGTCCTACTATTTGTTCTGAAATTAAAAGACGCAAAAAACGTTGTGCGCACGTTGACTTGTCAAGTTAATGTTCATCATCATATTTTAGATGTCTTAACCCAATTATTATTCTTTCTGAGAGTAATAGTCGAAATCGCTTCCTGCGCATTCTACAGGGTGTCCCAAAAGTATGTATGCTATGCACTGTTTGATCGTTAATATCTCTCTTTCCAAGAAGTCTTTTGCCTTGATTCAGGTACCGTTTTGTAGAGCTGGCTTTAACTTAGATTTGCTGTAAAGAACGGATCACCAATCTCTCTTCATTACTGTAGGATTACGGTAGAAACTTCAAAGAGGGTTTTGAGTCATGAAAGGCCATATTTTGCCTCAGAAGGAAACAAAACAGCCTGAAAACTTTAACCTAGGCTAATTAGAGTTGCTGATTTTAACTGTTAAGTTCCCAACTTTTTATGATGCTTGAAGAGTTATGCCGGGTAAGAGGTAGCGGCCATTTTTTCAATGTTCCTAAAAAATGCGGTTACACCGTTTAGAAAGCTTCGCAATTTTGTGAATAGTTGAGTATTGAACTCAGCGTCCATAAATACCCTATTATGCAAGTTTTCACATTTTTTTCAAAAATTTTGAAACGGCAGCTTTTTCCACAGTGACACCATATGTTTCAATTTCTACCGTAATCCTACAGTAATGAAGAGAGATGGGTGATTCGTTTCATACTGCAAATCTAAGTTGAAGCCAGCTCTACAAAACGGTGCCTGAAGCAAGGCAAAAGGCTTCTTGGGAAGAGAGATATTATATTAACGATCAAACATTGCATACATACTTATGGGACACCCTGTATATACATATAGAGGTTTTGAATTTGTTCTTTTGTTTCCAATCAGCAAATAATCTGAATCAAAATGGATCACAGGTATAAACTTTTAAATCCTCATTGTCAAGCTTTTTTGACATTATGTGCAAAGCATCGAGTTTTTTAGTCACAAAACAAATTGATACATAGATTGCGGATTTCTTTACAAGCTCAAACTTGTTCTTTCTTCCATTGTTGAAGGCAGCAGAATGGACCTCTGTCAGATCTTGGTAGTGTTAGGTAGTAGACCCCCTCCCCCCCCCCCCCCCCCCCCGAATACACCGTAGCCCCAACCCCACCCTCCAGTTCATGCGCTAAGTCCTGAAAAAGCGCTTCAAAACTCCACCAATGACGCCCACTCAATGGAGTTGGGCGAGGCTGGTGGAGTTTTGAATCTCCATTAGATCATCAAAAAATGAAGTATGTGCAGTTGCACAGATTAGCAGGAACATAGTCGACTGTTTGAAGCGGTGAAGTGGCTTCAGCAGGAATTTCTGCCAATGCTCTTGGATTTGTGTACTTGCAAGCAGAAGAAAGAATCCTGCTCGATCGTATGCTTTAGCTGGTCTTGTTACTTAAGTAAGGAGCTTTTATAATTTGCGTTGTAAATTCGAGAAAATCTGACGGTAAATATACGTCCTTGCGGTGCCGGGAGTTTGCTTTTAAACTTGCGGTGAACAAATAGTAACGCCTGAAGTGCCGCCAACTTGCGCGCGTAAAATGCTGGCATTTCAGACGCAGCCATCTGTTCACGCGCAAATTTTACCGCAGAGTCTTAGCACCGCAGGAGCACTAAATTCACCACTAGAACTAAATGACTGTATCCACACTTTGTGCTAACCTTAATTAGATAACAGCATTGTTTTGACACAGTCGAAAAGAATGCACAATGTTTGCATAAGTTGTTTACCGCCATCGACCCATGAGGATGCGATGCGCCTTCTCGATGACTCACCCCGCTCCCTGTGAAATTTTTTCCCGATGCGACATCTCGACTTGCTGATGCCTATCGACAATCGGCGAGCCGAGTTGACACATTTCTCTGAAAAATTTGTTTCGGGTGCACGCTATTGCCCCGCATTTCGCTCATTCTGTAGGTATTGAAGTTGAGAGCAAGCTGTAGAATCCTGCTCTAGTCACTAAGGCACTGGTTTGTGGCAGAATATTCCATATCTATGATCTTCTTCCTAATGGTCAATGATGTACAATACCCCACACAGAATGTGCAGAATTTCCGTAAATGTCGCGGACTTTCGCGGAATATCCGGAACTCCGCGACATTCACGGAAATTTTGCACATTCTGTGAGTGGTATTGTATATGTCTATAATCACAATGCGACAGTGCAAGATTTTCATTATCGCTTTCGCTTTTTTTCCCCTCAGGCCCGCGTTTTAGTCTCTCTCAATGTCACTCTTTTATCACAATGGATTAATCTAAATTGTTCATTGCATCATCAACTGCACTGAACAATTTCTGAGATTCCTTGTTGCTACATTTTTTGCGCATCGTGCTACTTCTTTGACGTGCGGGTTCTTGTAGCATGTCCTTGAGATCGGGTCAAGAATTATCTTTTTTCGTACTTTTTATGTACTCCGTGGCAGGCTCTCCATTGAAGAAGAGGAAATTTGTTTTGACGCTGACTATCGTCTTAGTACGCTCCTATCGGTTTGTCCATGAATCTTGCACCAAAAGTTCTGAAAAATCATAGTTTTTTTTTAAAATTTAGTGCCGTTTGGTTTTTGATTAAGTTTATTTTTTGAAAAGCAAACCATGCTTAATTCAATTTCAGTCATAAAAATGTTTAAAGTCTCAAATAAAATTCTGTCATACTTTTGACTACGGTTTTATGATCTACTTTTCTCAGCTGATCATGTTGAAAGTTTGTGTTGATCGTATCATTTCATCGTATCGTCAAGTCACAATTTCCGCGATCCAATCAATTTCGATATTGTTCGGTTCGTTAATATAGAATAGAGCATTTGTTATCTGCTACAAAATTCTGGTCATTTTCGAACAAATTTATTATATTTGTGCAATATTTATGGGAAAATTTCATGCGAATCGTCCTTGACCGGGCTATGAGCTATCTCATTTCAGCCTGAACAAAAAAAAAGATGACGAATTATGTAGGTGCTAAAAACAGTTTTCATGTAAGTTCTTTACGAAAAACCAACCATACGCACCCTCGAAGCAAGTAAACATCTTAAGTTAGGAACTTACCTACATCTTCTGAGGATTGTGTAATGTATAACCTGCTGAATCAGCCGTTATCTCCGAGGTGGATAGTTCATTTCTTTTCTTTTTCTATCCCATCAGTCGGGCACTTTTACATTCTGTTCGAAAGATGATCGGTCGGTGCGTTTTTGTAGCCTCTGCTCCTACAGCAAACAGCGCAGACAACTAATGTGGTGTGACCACTGCTGACTCAGTCTCCTTTGCACCGCTCTGAATCGCACTCCATCTGCTTACTCAAGAAATTAGGCTGTCCCTTTCTTCCATGCGGGAGTTATTTTTGTATACACTTGCCCATGTAGAATGATTCAGTTTTTATCCTATTTGTCACGCTCGATAACGCCTTTTTTGAGAAGTTACGATGGGTAAGAAGTCAAAATTGAGAATTTGCTTCAAAGTTTGTGTAAGGCATCTTTCAGCATTCTGCGAGTGCGTCTCTTCGAAGTCACGCTGGGTTTATGGATATTAAAGACTAGTGCAGGACGAAGGCGCAGAAGCAGTATTAGTTGAGCAGGCGGGAACGCGGCGCGCGCGTATCTTCACTGCTGTAAATCCTGTGCCTCATGCTGCGGCTAATAAAGCCGCGTTCGCGTTCAAAGGTATTGCGCCTTTATCATGCAGCAGCCAAATCCCAACCCGAAAGCGAAATCGTTATTAGCATGTTCCTCCTTGAACAAAACCATGAGCAGATCTTGGATTCTTATTCATTTACAGTGTACTCACCGTACACAGGAAAGGACGCTACCATGCATAAACAGCAATGTGGTTGATCAGCAGTCACTGACTTACGTGGGCAAATTCGCGGCGAAATTTGCAAGCTTGAGTGTTATAACCCAAACGAATATTATGGGCGGTTCATAGCATGCAAAAGCTGCGGACATGTCGGCTTCTCTCTAATCGAGCGCTCTTTCGTTTCTCTAGTCGTCTGCCGTCTCTCCCATGCAGAAACTACCTTTGTCGGAAGCAACGACGTTCAGTCTTTGCGTGTCATAAATCGACGATACCTTCATAAAATTCGGCAGATCCACACTAAAAGAAATGTTATAACATCTCACAGTGGGGTGGCATATGAACGAGAATTCATGCACTGATTTTTCACTTCTATAATATCATTTTATTTTTCTCATCATCAGCTTATGTCGCTAAAATTTGAGACAGTCTCGGAAAGAGCGGATGTAGAAACGAGTTACAAAAAATTAATACTTCTAGCTGATCTCCCTAATTGTTTATTCTCATCTGCCATGCTAAAATTCGAGATCCGTCAAGCTTTGGGTTCCATTCTTCTGGTATTTGATCCACATCTGCCATATGGCCTTAAATGTTAGTTTTTATCGTTAGTGCAATTCAGATACACCATAAATCAAACGTATGTACTGAGTGCCGTTAATCTCTATTCGAAGTCGTCTAATTTTTCGTAGCGAGAAGGAAAATCATCAAAGAATTGTGTATCGGCAGTTTTCGACCCCCAGAGAAAGTTTGATGCAAATTAAAATTCGCACAGTTATTTTTAGCCAAACAGGAGTGTGAGATTCTCCTAATTAGCGCATTTTCATCAATAGCTCATAGACGACTTTCTATGAAATGATAAGGAAAGCGAAAGACAAAAATGTGCATAGGATCTCGTGTGGTGAAATCTCTGGTTTGTGGATTAGGCTTTGACCATACTTTACCCAGTTACCAGCGTTACCCTTATATATGTGCACTCAGCAGTCAGTGGGATTGTGAGAATGAGACTGTATCAGTGATCATTTCACTACTCAACAGCAAGGAGTAACACTAGTAACACGAGTAACACTTGTAACGCGGGTAACACCGGTAATACACACCCGTAACACCCGTAACAGGAGTAACAGTGGTTACACCGGTAACGCAGGCAACACGTTTAAAGTATGGTCAAAGTCTAACAGTAAGAGATTTATTGGAATTTCTTACAAAAATTTTGGGAGTATACATGTGATTTTGATAATCTGCTTCTATGGCATTCATCTATTTTAGATGACTTTGGGGAACTTAGCACGCAGGTAAGAGTTAACCTCATATGTGATCGAACTTTGTGAAATGATGATCAGTTCTGCAATGTTGACTCATCTTACAGTTGGTTCAGTTGCGACTATATTCACTAGTGTTTGCGACTGTTCAAATAAACTTACGAGGACCATTGCGAGAGTTTGACTGAGCCTTTGAGAAATAACTTATGTTTTTTCTACAAGTAAAAACGGCCGATAATTAGGCGCGAAGTGCTTTTTCAAACCGAGCAAAATTGGTACAATACGTATGTGTAACTGCCCTTTTCTTAATAGAATGTTCAGCCGTCAACACAACTTTGGATTCGCCCTCTTGCTAATAGTTTTCATCGAATTAGTGTACAGATGCTAGTTCTGGTGGAAAACCTGCTTTATAAGGGCAAATGCCTTTATATGAAGCATAAGTGCTTTCTGTTCTTCTGAACTCACACAGGCTTTCTCATGCAAATCGTACAAGAAATGATACCTATGTAATGGTTATGTAGTAAGGTTGTAGTTTTTCGCTTCTTTGCACTTGAGCGCTTCAAAGAGAAATATGCGTTCGCATGAAACGGCAGACAGTAAACGAAAATTTTTTTTGGTTTTCTTGTAAGGTATGCTGCTGTTTGACTTATTTATATACTTTCCCTTATATGTGGTATACGTTGTATGCAAAAATGAAGAATTTAATTTAATGACATCGTGGAGGAGGTAGCGTCTTGCAGGTAGAAGCTACGATCTGGCAGTTGATTTCACTCGTGTGCTTTGTTCGAATAATTTTGAAGTTAGTGCTTGTTAATGTGAACTTTTCCAGTGGAACAAGCAGCGAATCCAAAAAATAATGCATTATTTCTTTCGCCGCTTTTCTGAGTGATTTGAGTGTCTCTCTCTATCAGCTTGCACTCCGCGATCTTTGAACACCGCTAAAAGTTAATGGTTCTTTTTTTTACAAAATATGACCATATCCGAATCCGGAGGCTAAGAGTTTTTTAAAATTTTTCGTACTCATGTGACTTGTGCTCCATTTTAATCGCTGCAGTATCTCAATGCTTTGTTTCAAAAAATTTTCCGCAAATTTCCGAATTTTTAGTTACTCAAGAAGTTCAGCTTATTTCACTTTCCTTTAGTCAAGTGAAAGATAGTGAATATCGGTGATGAATTGATAACTCTGTTCATTTTGCACGCAAAAGCCAAATTTTTGGTCACAGATCACATGAAAAATGTTCAAATTGAACCACAATCTGTTGCGGTTCCGCTTCAGCTAGTTATCTCATAAAAATAACTACAGCACTCTTATCACTGTTGGCGTTCACATGCCGAATCTAAATCTAAACATACTTAGGCTTTATGTTGGGCGGGCATGGTTGTTTTTGGTCCCGAAGCCAATCTTTTGAACAAATACAGTGGAAGGGAAGGAAGGGCAGGAGAATTGGAAGGCGGTGGAAATTCTTTACAACAGTGTTTTTGAGAGGCTTCGCTATTTTTCCGAAAAAAAAATTTTTTCACGAAATCGATAAACTTATAAAATTTGTTGGAAGAGCAAGTCACCCGCATAATTTTTGAATTCACGTTCCTGTTCCTAAAATTTCGTTACCCTTTTCGAAAGTAGGAATGGATAAACGAGGAGGGTGTCAGTGAACAGGATGTACTGCCTGCCTTGTACTGGCCATTTTATTTATTTATTGATCTGAGAAGTCTGCTAATGCTAGTGAAAGTTGTAGATCTACAGAAATCTTTGCTACAATTTCGCGCAGAGCTTTGTTTGTACAGTCGTTTGGCATATCATCGTAGATGCCAAACAAAAAAGAAAACAGGTTTGTCAGTTCTGGATTGATAATATTCTCGGATGTGCGCGAGGGGTTTTTATGTTTGATCGACTAATGTCTAAAATGGGTGCGTCCACGCAACTCACCATTTCAATATCTAAACCTGCAAACAGACATGCATAGGATGAAAATTGAGAGGTTTGTGAGAGTGAAATTAAAGGCTGTCATGATGGCACTGTGTTTCCGGAATGCTGTCTGCTGTAATTTATTCGTTGCTAGAAATATACCACTTCACATAATAGTCCATTCGTGCGCCTTTCCGTTTCGTGGCGGTAAAACATGCACAAAAAGTAGTGCACGTCCTCGTGTTTTGCACCCATGTTGATTTTCACGTGCAAGTGGTGTCGGCACCGCAGGTACACTATATCAAACTTCGAATCGTCTAGTCTATACAGAAAGGAGCACTCATAAATCATGATTGTTATAATTTCTGCAAAGCCCTAATCGTTAGCTATTGTCCTCTGGGAAATATTTTTGAATGCTGTTATAATCATATCCATCAACAGCTAGTCCATGTTTTTCATCGCCCTTTTGTCAACTGTGAAAGCTTTCATGAAAAGCTTGCTTGTGTCGAAATGCGTCTATCCATTAAACTTCCCAAAAAAAGCTTTACAGCAGAGCTTCACTGCATTCAGCCCACGAACATTTCCCAACATCTGTTTTGTCTCATTTTCGTCCTTCTCTTCATTTATCTTAATGCATCTTTTTTGATTTTATAACTACTTGTGACAACGTTGTTTAAGCTACAGTTGAATAGATGTTTCGCCTGATATAGTGTGCTTGCGGTGCCAAGGAAATATGGTAAAATTTGCGCGTGAACAGTCAACTACGTCTTCATCGTCGGCCGCTTGCGCGCGCAAGATGCCGATATTACTAGCATGACTATTTGTTTACGCACAAATTCTACCGCATTTTCTCGGCACCGCAAGCACACTATACTAAGTGGAGAAAATCTATTGACTGTATGTTTTGAGTCCAGTATTTGTCCAATAGGTATAACCACTTCACAAGCTTCTCGCGCCTTTGCGCCTTGCCAAAAAGCATTCAAACTATGTGCTTCGTGCGTATGTGCTTCCGTATCGCCTCAAAAGCAGGAATTGGGCTGTGTTGAGGTGGTACTGGGAGAACAAGACTTAAACATCTCTGTGTCTTGCTCATTCTGTGCTTACTCTCGTTCTGATATATGAAGAAGACGATAAGATTATAGCATCTTTTGCATTGCTCTGCACTTTCTCAGCTTGTGTCATCAGCCAAAGTGGAAATTTCATTGGTTTTGTAGACTGTTTTGTCTGTGCACGTCCATTATTTTGATTGCTAATGTTATTTCAGCTACAAAAGGGATAATTTTCACAACTTTTTAACCATACGATAACTTCTCAGTGCTTTTCCCTATCGTAGAAAAGAATACAGAAGTGTTGTGAAACAAGTGACTGAAGATTTGGATCTCAAATCCGCCAATCTCCATAATAAAGGATCTGACGAGCTTATTACAAAAACACTGTCGTTTTGCTGGTAGAATTTTTTGGTGAGGCTACGGTACGTACACGTAGAGGTGTGACATTTATTTCGTTAAAACTTCGCAAAAATACAAATCACGAATATCTTTCCAAGAGATGGTAGCATGCTACTGGTGCACTTGGACGTCTGAAGTGAATATCCGCGTCGGGATCCCGCATCACCGCTCGCAACGTGTGCGTGTATAATTGTTGCCCTGCCTTCCCTTGCATCAAAAAGCGCTTGCGAAGTGAATATGACTTACATAATTGACTATTTCTTGGGTAAAACTTGTGACTGTCTTCTACCAGTCGGCTGCACTCGCTCTTTGTTGTTGAGGACCATAAATGACTGAAAGCATCGAATTAGACTTCTCCGGGACTTCTTGCCAAATGTTCCAGCCCTATTTGCTCTCATCTTTTTACATTTTCTGACCTGTCATGGCTTAACATCAGAGAAGTGTTTGCCAGAGTGGATTGGACCTCCTTTTTCAGATCATAACCTTGCAATTCCCGCCGGACTTGTCGGCGGGCTTTTTGAGGAATGCCTCCGTTCGTCGATCGATTTTCCATTTCACAAAACGCACAGCCCCAGACAGTAGTGTGGTGTGCTCTTTTGCCGCGTATCCTAGCGGTCGTTGGAGCATTGAGAGAATTTCTTTTTTAGTTGCAGTTGCAGGCATTGCATGCATTCTCTCATTTTTCGTGACTTGCTTTATCGGGTGAGGTTTTGACGAAGTTTTGAAGGCAGCTGAATTGTCCTCTCGAGGATATCGACCTTTTACCAGTCGGCTGCACTCGCTCTTTGTTGTTGAGGTTCTTTTGATTGCCCAAAGGTTGTCAGCAAAATGGAATAGCAAAAGGAGTGGTAAATTCCTTCTGTGCTGCAGCTATTGATAAAGTTTTTTTTTCACACTTTGATGTTTTATCTGCGCTCCAAAAAAGGAAGTGCGAGAAATTCCTCCAAGTTTCTCATGAACTTTGATGCACGCTTTTAGTCTCTACGGGACTCCTAATTCTGTTCGTTGTTTACGGGCATGAGTTGTCCTGGCTCTCACATCGATCGTTTTTCTCCTATTCGCAATTATTGTTTTTCGCGCGCGTCATATACAGCACAAAAATTGTCTTTCATATTTTAGGATGGGTGGCCGCAAATTGAGCAGCCAAGAGGTTTACGATGTGCAAAAGGATGAGAAGCTTGGGCAGGTGTGTTCTGTTCTATCTTTGTTTGTTGTGACTTGCTTTGTTTTTGTTTGTTTTTTGTTTGGGGTGTATGTGGCGGAGCCTTTTTCGGTGAATTCAGAAAAACTCCTTAGTTTCCAAAAGAGGTACATCATATAAGAGCATGAGTTGATACCATGTAGGTATGTGTCAGTCGAAGGTTTTTGTAGCCAGACGGACATCAATGCGCATATTTAGTGTTACGTAGCATTCTGGAAGCATTTCGAATTTCATTTAGATACTAGTTGGCTTTCCCGGTCCAGCTCGGTTCACTGGTTGTAGGATAGATGCTTTAGGTTGTGAGCAAGATTACTGCACTGTGAGCTCCCCCCTCCCCTCTTCCATGTTATGCATGATTAACCCCGGGACATTCTTTTCATAACGGATCCTCGCGATCCTGTGGTGGAAATGAGGTTTACCGCTCTCGTTTACATGACTATGGGAAAATGCTTGGTTGAAATATGATAAGCCCTTCATTTCCTTAGAGGAACGTAAACTAATCAATAATTTGATAGAAGCACCCAGAAACGCCGCAACAAAGTAGCCTATCATCTGCGCAGGGACCGAAAAGTGTGTGCAAAGTTTTAGCTCATTTGGTTGAGCGGCGCTCGTTCCTATAAAGTACATATTCCCCAAAGTGACAATTTTGAGTTTTATTCATATATAGTTTGCGTGGAATTCTTTTTGTAGACTTGGTTAGCGCAGAATTAGACATTTGTTTGGTGACAGTCGGGGAGGAGCGTTATGATTTTTACCATTTTTTCTAACGGGCATAAATGAAGATCCTTCATATGTTTTGAAGGAATTTTGCTGACTTCAAGTCGAGCTTGAATCACCTGTCGCTTACACTTGTCTTGCACTTTCGCCCTTTTGTCAGTCAAAGTAACAAATTTCAATTTCGTTCAATTTGACCAATATGAAAATTATTTTGAGCAAATTACAACGAGGCGATGATTCATAAGTAGTGTCAATGCCAAGCTTTATCGAAAGCGAAGGAATTTCTAAAACGAACCTTGTTGTGGTTGTGCTAGTTTTTCTTCAAAACTATTTGAGGGCAGCGTACGACTTTATACGGTAAGGATAACAAACGCGGTACTAGACAGCAAAATTTGAAAGTGTTCGATGCCCGAGACAGACAGACTCACATCGCGATGCTGTCGTACTGATAGTGTAATAATATGTTTGCGTCCTAGTCTTTGCGTAAGCCAAATAGCAAGTGCTAGTACCCGCTGACCTCTCCGTGTACGCTGCCCTGTCGATCAGTTAGCGTACTGATCTTGATATGACGAATGGCGAACTTGCGGTCGATCTAATTTATGACATCTATGCCGTATCACGCCTTGCGCAGGACGCATACACCCCACTACGTCAACATGTCTGCAACTAACGCTTCTGCACAGGTCGTCAAAGGCTCGTCGCCACTCTGGATCCGTTTCCTCATTGGAATTCTACGATTGTGGTTCTTCGTCTACGATTGTCTGAATTACATTCCCTATCAACTATTCAACTCTCCTACCGAGAAGCTGCGCAAGTCCAGCAAAGTTAAGGTGAGCATTTTATGTTTCTAGTTATCTATCTATACATAGTTTCATCACACCACTCTTATTGCATTATCACTTAAACTCGCAAACGCTATGCATGCGTTGCTTTACATGCTTGAGCTTTCTTCCTGAAATATAAGGCATCCACAGGGAGGTGCATCAGTTGATATCTCATGACCGATTTCCATGGAAAAGTTGTCCACAACAAACGTGATATAAAACAAGGTAAAGTTGTCCATTCTCTTATTGCTTAAAGGCACGTCTACCCTAAACTGGAGGTTTTGAGCTTTTGGCAGCATATAATAGTAGGGTCCCCTATCAAGCCAGTGCCCAACTCGTGGCGCAAAATGTCGCCTCGGAAGCGAGAAAATCGCTCCGGAATAGCGAAGATGCCGAGGACCCCCATCCATGCCCGCCCCTCCCCATCCATTCCCGCCCATTTGTGCCACCCAATCACCGTTCCGGAAAGCCGGCCTTGGGTTCTCCGGAACGGGGATTTTCGAGATTTTCGCGGATTCTCGATTTCATATTCGAAGTCAGGGACATGAGAAGGCCCGAAACGATATAAACCTGGAGGTCGAGAATCTGGGTGGACGGTGCCTTTGAGATGCAGTGATGGAGCGTTTGGGAAAGCAAATCTCAATTGTTTCTCATTTCCAGATTCTGACGAAGGCGAACAAACCCTAAAGTCAGTCATCTAAAAATTCGTAAGAACTGGTGTCTTCAAAGCAGTCAAAAATTATCAATTTCAAGTTGTTGAGTACACGTGTGTGAAGCGTTCTCAAGTTTCCTAGTCTTGGAACAAATGATACCTACTTTTTATTAATACGTAGCCTAATGTCATGTGACGCTTTGTTAGAGTCTATTGCAGACCTGCACTTTCTTATCTTAGGGAGATTGTTATAGATGTCAGCTTTCTTGCGGCGTATTCTCTTGATCTTCGTCTTATCAGATAACAGTAAAAGACTGTAGCTCTCCAGCCTGTGAGCTCTTTGTTTTTGGTTAACGACTGTTCTTCTTTTGCATCCTACCTAACTTTCTAGACTTTCGCTTCGAAATGCTGTTCACAACTTCCCTGATGTCAGGATTGTCATGTCCATTCGTTCACTTTCAGCCATATCTCCAATGGGAGTCATGTTACAGCTGCTAATTCCATTGCAAATGTGACTGAAAAACAGAGTGGACCGAACATTTCTAGAATATGTTTGACCTCTCTAAATCTGTTGTCTCAAACAACTTGCTAGGTGAAATTTAGAAAGCTCTGATGATCGAACCAAATTTAACTTTGATCACAGTCTTCACTCCGTTGATTTCACTATATAAGCTTTAGAAAAACTTCTATTCGTTTCAATTACAGGCTCAGTGGGTGGATGAGAGGGATGGTCCGATCAGACATGTTGATGGTCTCAAAACCGAAGAGTTTCCTGGGAAGGATACTGTTGACAAGGTAAATTATCCGTAAGTACTAACTGCTCGGTTCCTTTTTAAAGTTTTTCTATTTGAGATGTGGCGACATGTAGTCGAATTATACGATGAAGCTCCTGCTCTGGGAACGCGGCAACTGTTAGCGGTTCACCATGAAAAACAGCCAGACGGGCGAGTGTTTGAAAAGGTGAGAAATAGTGTCTGACATATCCATGCTTTGAACATATCTTGACCACTACGAATCAAATACCATTTTTAACTGCTTATATTTTTTTGCAAAAATAATTGAGCAGTCATTTTGCACATTTTCTTTTAAGTGGGAAATGGGTGAATATGAGTGGATGTCGTACCGAGAAGTTGAGGCAAAAATTTCCAATGTCGCAGCCGGTTTACGAGATATAGCCAATGGAGATGATCATAAGGTGGGTGTACCTACATTATTTTCGAGAGCTAGCTTCCATTGAAGTGTCAGAAACTGTGGTTTCACTCTATAGTAATTGTCAGAAACTGTGGTTCCACTCTATAGTAATTTTTTTCCAGATTGTTCTGTTTGCGGAAACACGTGCTCATTGGCTAATAACAGCTTTGGCAGCATTTCGTACAAACATACCCATTGTCACTGTGTATGCTACCCTAGGAGAAGACGTAAGACCATTCGGAATATCTCTTATTCTGGTTTCTTCATGAACAGTATGGAGATGAGTAGCTGACGTTTTAGGCGATAGCACATGCTATAGACGAAACGGGAGCCACCATTTTGGTGACATCAGCGGAATTGCTTCCGAAGATTAACAATCTGGGAAAACGTTGTCATTCTTTACGTACCCTAATCTATCTGCCGCAGGTCAATAAACAGGCACCTCCACCGGATCTCTCGCCGTTCAAGTCAGAGTTTAATTTTTCACCTCTCAGGTTTTTTCTTGAAAACCTTTTTTCAGAGAGCAATTTGAACATGTGTTAGCCTATGCCGATCTTGAATCAAGAGTGCCGACTATGATTAGTGAGTTACTTCGTTTGAAGATTCATTAGGAGGGCTTTTTTGTAAAGGGATTGACGTGGACTATTCCAAATTAGTTTTCAAAAATGTCGCTAATTTTACTAGAGACGGAAGTCACACATAACAGTTTTGCTGGGTCAAGTGCACGCTCAGTCATCAAGATTGCAGCTGCTTGTTTATATATGTAATATATTATCATCTAGACCCTTAGTGTTGTGCACAAATTCCTGTGTACATAACCTCGAGTCATTTGTAACTTAATATGTGAGATTGCACACTAATATTAGATACCGCACCCACACTAGTAACTTCCGAGTAAAACATCTTCTAGGCTAACAAAATGTAGAAATGCGTTCTACTGACTATCGTATAACCAACTAAAACAAAAGAAACAAGAAAACAAGGAGAAATCACTGGAAATGAGCAGGTTCTAGTTTCGCTGTTTGTCAGTTAACGTGTAAAGTGTGCACTACGCATATTAAGTTATGAATGACTCGACGATACTTCTCTGTTTTTCCAGATATGTGTGGTCCTCATACCGTTGTTTCATACCGCCCCTTTTTATTAAATTGTATACCAATTTACCCTCGTAGAACATCAGTGTTCTCTACGTCTTACTACTCACACCAGTTTTGTTTTCTAAAGCTTCTTCCAAAAAAAAAAAACGCAATATAGTCTCAAAAAATGTGAAGTCTATGTTGTTGGGCATGTCATGGGTTATGTACAATATATCACGCACGGGTATCTTTCTTCATTTTCAGAGGAATCGACAACAAAGCCGGATGATGTTGCTTTGATCATGTATACCTCTGGTACTACCGGAGCACCAAAGGGTGTGATCTTGTTGCAAAAGAACATCGTCGCTGCTGTCTGTGGTCAAACGAACGGGGTCGGAATTATAGGGTAAGACTTGTTGATCATCTGATACCCATATATAATGCTATTTAAGCCATACCGACACATATATCGGCTATCTCCCATTAGCACACATTCTCGAACTCGATGCTGAATTGACGTCTTTGTGCTGTGGAGCCAAGGTAAGTTCTTATTTTCTCTTAAAAAAAACTTCCGCTGCCAATGTGAAATCTTATTGTCTCATAGAATATAAAGGTGGAAGTAGGTGAGTAGTTGTTGGACCATTTTTCTGGTTATAACTACACCATCATTCTGGTCATAATTACATATCATTTTAATCCTTCATCATTGTGGAGTAATTCAATCATATATTTTTGCAAATTGGAAGCGGTTTGGGAGCCAGGGTTGTTGAGCTGTAATTGAATCCACACTTCTCTTTTATTGTATAATGAAAGTGGAGCTGGCTCATTTTCAATGCGCTCTCTTCTCTGAGTTAAAACAGAATAATCGGTATTGTGTATTGCTTTGAATCGAATCTGCAACCCATCTTTCAGGTCGGGTACTCAAGTCCCCTCACTTTGCATGACCGTGCTAGCAAAATCAAGCCGGGAACACATGGAGATTGTCATGCACTTCAACCTACCCTTATGGCTGCGGTACCGGTAAGTTCTGCGCACCATTTACTTGGTTTTTGTACTTCATACCTGGTAATTTTTCTCTTTATTTTGTGTGGTTTTTCAATCAGTACGTTGACTTACATAGCTACAATGCATGTATGGGTGCGTATCAGCGCAGTGCGAAGCTACTGAAATATGATGTTGAAGTTTTTCACAAACTACCTACATTATGTCCGCTCCGTTCCAGGCTATCATGGATCGAATTTTCAAAGCAGTATCAGAGGAAGTGGCTGCGAGCCCGAGAATAATGCAGGAACTGTTCAAATTGAATTATGAACGCAAGAGAACTCGTTACCAAGAAGGTTATTGCAGTCCATTTTTAGATAGGTACGTTCGGAGGAGGAGAGACACAGCTGGATGTTGCTAGAGTTTGTTTTCAGAATTATATTCAAAAAGATTCGACGACTTTTGGGTGGCAAACTGAAGGGAGTACTATCAGGTGGTGCACCACTAAATGCTGAAACTCAAAGATTCATGAATATTTGCATGTGCTGCCCGGTTGTACAGGTGCTCTACCTTTTATTCAAGTTTGGTTAAAATTCCCTCGTTTTTTTCCAGGGTTATGGCCTAACTGAAACTTGCGGTGCTGCTTGCGTAGCAGATATCAATGATCTCAGTACGGGTACTGTGGGACCTCCAGTGCGATGTTGTGAAATTGTTCTGCGTGAATGGACCGAAGGTAGTTATTCGTATGTGCTTTAAAATTTCACCCAGGCACATAATTTTGTAGGCGGTTATTCACCTTTCAACGATCCGCCTCAGGGAGAAATATTGATAGCAGGAGAAAACGTGTCTCCGGGATATTTCAAGCAACCTGATAAAACCGCCGAGGAGTTCATAACATACAAGGTGCGTTCAAACTGACCGGTGCAGCCTTCAAAAACCAACGACGTATTCCAGGGGAAACGTTATTTCTGTACAGGAGATATCGGCGAAAAGCGGAAAGACGGGTCTATAATCATTGTTGGTAAGTACGCAGCTATAACTCTTTGTCCTGCTTATTCACTACTATTCAGTTATATAATTAGTACTAAACTCTTTTTTCCACTGCAATATTTCTAGATCGTAAGAAGGATCTTGTAAAGTTGCAACACGGAGAATACGTCTCATTGGCCCGAGTAAGCCCTTTGTTACCTGTTTTTCTGTTTTGTCATTGCATATGAATTTCATTCTGATTTGCAGGTCGAGTGTGCTCTTCTCAATTGTCCCATAATTGATAATGTCTGTGTGTACGGAAATAGCTACGAAGATAACACGATTGCACTCGTAGTGCCAAATCAAAAGCATTTGGAAAAGATTGCTGAACAGGTTTGCTCAATTGGCTGCGCATCTTAGAATTCACCTAGATTGCATATATTTAGGTTGGTGAAGAATCGCGAGACATGAAGACCATGTGCGCAAATGAAAAAATTAAAGCTGAGTTCCTCAAGCAGATGAACGAGCATGCCAAGAAAAGTGAGTTGAATACATCGCTTTTTCACGCGTCCATTTGCGTTTCTTTCTTTTTTCTTAATTTTTCTTCCCTAAAACTTCTTTTTCTTTTCTTTATACTTCCTTTTTGTCAATAATAGCACCACATTTTCTTTGGTTCTAACTTTTCGATTGGTCAATTAGTATAAAAAAATTGTTTGCAAAATCGTTCAGGTAAATTGTCGCGAGCAGAAATGCCAGTTGCGATACATTTGTGCGAAGAGATATGGACTCCTGACAGCGGCCTTCTCACGGAGGCTTTGAAACTCAAACGAAAACCTTTGCAAAGCAGATACCAAACTGTCATTGATGAGTTGTACAAGAGTGTTCATGCCAAGTAGCTGCGTTCCTGTGTCTTGCAACTTTGAAGCATGAGTGTTTTGTTTCTAATTCTAGGTCTTCACATCTGCTCTACTCAGAGCGTTTGTATCTATCACCTTTGTTGAATTGTTCTGGATATTCTCACCTGCATTGTATAAGCTTTCATCAATATGTCATCTGTTTTTTTAACAACTTTTACTAGATTTGTGTGGTGCCTCACTTGTGCAGCATAATGAGCGCCGAACATTTTGCCCCGTTGATCTGTCAGTGCTTGTGCGTATATTTCTAAGGAAAGCCTGTGTGGGCTGCATCTCTTCTTCCAAAATTTTTAGCATCTCTCGCCTTTGCAAGTCCATATTATCTTCTACATCTTCTTCCATTATCTGTGCACCGTATTGATTTGCTACTGATTTTCACTTGTCCTGTGTTAACTCTCGATCACGTTTTAGAAAGATTTTTATAACCATTTTTGACAATCCCCGGTTTGCACCCCGCGAAGCTGTTCATCCTTAGCCATACCACACAATCTAGTTCAGGGCCATTTTGAATCGATTAACGGAGTTTTAGCAAATATATGAGGCTAATAAAGACTTTTATCATATCCTGCAACTTCTTTGGCTTTCATTTACATAAATTGAACGAGTTTATGCTGCAATCAAACATGCTCTGCCGTTTTGCAGACTGTCAAGCTCCTTTTTATCATTGGTGTTTGTAAAGAAAGAGTAGTCACCCTTTCTTTCTTTTTGTTTTCGAAGATTTGAATTGTAATACACAGAAGCGGTCAGGAGCTTTATCCTATTCGCAGTGGATAGACCGGGAATGATCCAAAAGTCCATAGTGGAAGAAAATGGACTTTCTTGGTCCAGTTTATTCGTTCGCGATAGAAACTGGTCGAAATTGGCTTTCGCTTGCGATATCCAAAATTTTTCATCCCATCGCAACCGCGAGGCAAAGCGATGAAATGGAAATGATTCATACTTGAGTTATCGCTCGCGGAAGATGACGTCAAGAGTCCATTGTAAAATGGGGCAAAATGAAGTTCACCTCCATGTTCATTCTCTCCTACCTTTCTGATAAACCCATTTCAATCCCAGCAGCCAGGAGTGGTAGTAATTTGGTCGAAACCATCATGTTAAGTGTGTTTTCATGACACCAGCTAACCAGCAGCTTCACATCATTTTCCCAACGAAACACGAATTAACCAATAGGAAACCTCGAAATGCTATCTTGCAAAGCAAAGTCATTGGAGAAGATCGAAACTCCAACCTTTCTCATGCTTGTCGGCAATCATTGTACTTTACCAAATTTGCAGTTCGGTCTCCAGCCTTGCACCATCCTATAACCTTATCTAAGCTGTAAACAAGTAAGCTTTCTCATAGTAAGTTGCAGAATGATCTCCCTCACCCTTCTTAACTTGCAAAACCAACACATCATTGTTTGAAACGAAAAAGTGGTCGGGGGTACTTTTTCATTTTAAACTATGATGTGGTGGTTTCACGTCTGCGTCTCATGAAATGAAGTGCTGTTTTCATTGCTCTATCTGATAAGGGAACAATGGTGTTAACCTGCTGTTTAACTCATAGTTTGGTTTAGAATGAAACAAGCATGAAACAGTTATGGTTCTCTGCTAGTTACTTGCTTGTTTCATGATTTTGTATGACCGATTGAACTGAGTGGCCGTGAAAAGATGATCATGCTTACCACGATGTAACCATGATTGAACTATCACATCATTCGTTGGTTTCGACCAAATTACTACCACTCCAGATGTGCTGGGACTAAGTCCACTTTTGACCTTTTTGTCCATTTTTGATTGTGATTTTTTTGAGAATGTGTTCCCTAGTCCATTTGAGAGTAATAAATGAACGGAGAAAGTTTCATCTCTTTTATGAAGCCCGAAATAAGTGTCTCTTTCAAACTCATTCAAAACACTTTGAAAATCGTGGAGGAAGACTGAATTCATTTATATATCTACTAGCAAACTTGACACTTCAAGATAACAGGTTAATGCTGAAGTGCCCGCGTAATTCAACAAATTCATTAATTCCTCAAACCATCACTAAAGCTGAATTCGTTCTTTGCATCAAAAAAGAAGGAAAATTCGCAATTTACGATAGTTATACAAAAGCTATTTTTGTGACCCTTTGGAGCAAAGCCTTCAAAGTCTGCTCCTATCATGTATTTTGAGTTTGATTGCAAGAGATACTGAAGCCACTAGCTAGCAGCAATGACACTTCAAAGATCAGCATCCCATTAGTCCATACGTTGCGTTGCATACGCCTTAATCTCGCATGGAAATGTAAGGAACAAAATATCGTGATAAATGTCATACTAAAGGAATCTCCTTATTACAGAACTTTTCCACCATGGCACTGTTTGGGGCGCAAAAAACGCCGCATTTCTGGAATACTTCTGTCCTTGAGCTGTTCTCCTGTCAAGAAAGAAATAGTGGTGAAAGGACTTTTTCTGTAATATGATATTTTTCGTTCCAGCTTTTCTATATATGAAGATTGAAGATGTACAGCAATGTATGAGGTATTGCCACATGAAACACTTTTGCAGATTTTCGGAGCTGAACAGCGCAATGTTTTTTCACACCAGAATCAAGTCAGCTTACTGTACAGTTTTTGGAATTTTGGTTCTCCGACGCTAGACAATAAAAAGTCTCTTTTGAATAATCATCGTAAAGAGCAGATTGTCTATTTTGAATACAAGGCATGAATTTATCAAAAAAGAAGTTATTCGAATTTCTTCTGATTTACGCACGAACTTTTGCTCACCAGTTTGAATTTTATAAATTTTTTTAGAATAAGAATAGCAGAAAAAACCATTCACTTGGCACTATTCCCATTAGGCCTCGGACAGAGTTCACGCGATTTGATGTCGTGATTCAATCGCTACAGACAAGTGTTACGAGTTCATTGCATGCCGATCTTCCTGCATTTCTGTCGTGACAGTATTTTAACACGACTAATCGTGATTAACTATCACAACCGAAATGCAAGAAGATCGGTAGAAGATGCAATGGACTCGTAACACTTGTCTGTAGCGATTAAATCGCGAAGAATAAATCGCGTGAACTCTGTCCGAGGCCTTATGCGTCTGAGATGGTTTGAAAGTTGTTTTAAATTAGGGTTGAAGAATGAATAGAGTTAGAATTGAACATTAGTGCTAAAAGAGAAAAGAGCTAAACTGAAGCATCTGCAGTGCCATCAGTCTTTTGTAAATCTGTAATTTCACTGACTTGACAGAAGCTTTAGTGTTGTACGTAGATTAAGGTTTTCTTTCAGCTGAGAAGGCTTAGAGATTTTATAGCGCAAGTATAACAAAAACTTGCTCTCTACGCAAAGTACGATTTACGACTTTGATCTAGGGCAAAGTAATCGGAAGGGAAGTCTCGAAAGAAGTGAGAACTACTTTGATTCTGAGTTGAGTTGGAAGTAATAGAGTGTAATGCAAAGGTATCGATACAAATGACATTTTGTGACATGTAAATGAGGAAAAGTAGAATATCCACGAGACCGGCATTGTAATGTTAGACCCATAAGGCTAGATATCAACTCTATGGTGGGAATGATTTTACTAGAATGAGCAGACAGGTTAAAACAAGCTAAAGAAAGATTTCTAGACATAATTGTCTGGGATGGATGGGTTCGCGGGTGCGATATTTTATCGCACCGCATGGACTGAGACCATTTTATTCGCGTTTCATCCGCGAAAAGCCCATTTTTAAATAGACTTTCGTGGATATCATTTCAGTAGAGAATATCAGAAAATACTCAAAGATAAGGGCCATTTATCAGAACGTTCACAATCGAATGACTTCAAACATGTTAGAATAAGTAGGCGCCATTATATGGTTCAAAACTTATCCGATTCACCCAATCGCTGTTGGTTAGTTCGATGATCTGACCGATAGCGAATGGGGTAGATTGCATGAACGGAGTGAATTGGATAAGCATGGCACTGCCATACTCATACTACCGCCTGACATTGCGGGAGGTTCCAACGCGATCAGGCAAGGCAAGAAACAACACGCTTTACAACAACATACATTTGAACATTCCAACAAAAGAAACACTGCAATCACATCTGATGGGAAGAACAGGAGATTTTGTACCCAATCTGACAAAGTTCATAAGATGAACAAGCAAGGCATCAAAACTTGGAATTGAAAATTATTTTCTAGCAAGGGACAGTGTAAAGCTCACATATAAACCCCCTTGTCCCATCAATGATTCTTCAAGCTTATAATCATTTTTAGGTACTTAGTATAAGAGATAACATCACAAAAAAGTCTATCACAAACATTGGTAAATTTATTACATGAGATCATCACTATTACATGCGATATTTAGTCCCGCCGGCGTACTCCATATACTCTCCGCATGCCAGCTGAGGTATTTGCAGTGGTACCAATCGTCGGTATAGCACAATCCATAGCAACAGGGTTATTCCCAAGGTGCCCATCTAAATTATGCGTTTTCCGTTCTAATCTTTAAGTTATGACTTGCTATTTGGATACACACAAGGGTTCTCCCATCTGAATTGATGTTTGGTGGTGCATCCTTGATGACCAAATTCGCTTCAGCTTCTTCCTTTTCTTTTATCATATACCAAAGTATGGGTCAAATTATTGCCCAAACATGATTATTTATCTATATTTATTCGTATTTATACAAGTACATTACATAATTGTAATGCGCCATTGAAAAAGAAACCCATTCGGAAAAAAGAGTAAGATATGAAATTGAGGAAAATCCAAGCTTTGGTTTCCCGCTAAATTTTTTGTCTACAGAAATTCTAATGGTGATTACATAAGTATGCCTCTTACACATTATTAAGAGTTCCAATCACATGTACATGATCGGCTAAATGGTACTTTTGCTTTAAACAGCATGGTAGGATGAAGTGCTCGATGTAATCAATCATTCTCGAGTGGTTGCAGCCTATCCAATGGTCCATTATGGACATTATTGTTATAGTGATTATAGACATTAGTGTTATACTGTAAGCAGCCAAAGGAAGACATAGCCTCAAGAAGGTGCTGAAGGTCTCTGTGAATAATGTGCCGCTGGCTGCACTATTGAACGAAGACGGGACTCCGACTTCTTCCCGATACAAGATGGATTCTATCGCGAAGAACTTCTACACCAACCTCTTCCGCTCATCAACATTCGTGCCGATGCCCGATGTTCCCACTGGAGAAGTACCACCACGAATTATACCTGCTGAAGTGCGCGCAGCGATTCAGACCATAAGATGTCCACGGCACCAACCAGATCATCTTTTCGTCGACCTTCTGCGAGCCGGAGGACACCGTCTACACGAGGTTCTAGCGTCGCATTTGACATCTTACCTTCAGAAGAAGGAGTAGATTCCCGACCAGTGGAGAATATCAAGAACCGTCCTTCTCTTCAAGAAGGGCGAACGGGAGGATCTTCGGAACTACCGTCCAATATGCCTGCTGAGTGTGGTGTACAAACTTTTCACGAAGGTTATCCTCGCTCGTATCTAGGACACTGGATGAAGCCCAATCTCAAGAGCAAGCTGGATTTCGCAAAGGATTCAGCTGCATGGATCACATCCAGACGGTTTCGAGGGTCATAGAAGTCTGCCGGGAGTACCGACTGCTTCTCGTCCTAACCTTCTCGACTACGAGAAAGCCTCTGACAGCGTCGAAACCAACGCCATCCTGTCAGCGCTAGTCGATCAAGAAGTGGATTTAGCTTACGTGAGGACGTTCCGAATGCTACAAGGATTGTACAACGACAATACAGCTGTTCCAATGCACCCAGACCATTCCAATTGGGAAGAGGTCCAACAAGGCGACACAATTTCGCCAAAGCTGTTCACCGCGGCCTTGCTATGGGTTGAAGCACTGAACTGGGACGAGAGACGCATACAAGTTGATGGAAAATTCCCGTTGAACCTTCGTTTTGCGGACGACATCGTTTTCATTTTGAGCAGTATCACTGAAGCAAAGACGATGCTGAAGCAACTAAATGAAGTAGGGAGGAAGATCGGATTCAAATAAATAGAAATGTAAACTAGCCCGGATTTTAAGCTATAAGTAGCCCCTTAACCTCACCCAAGCTACCTCTAGACACTTAATCTCCATTCTAAACCACTTTTTTGAGAAAGGGGAACCCTACTAGACATAGTTTATTTGACTTTGCTGAAGCGTATAAATACACTTTGGAGGACGTGACCACACCATACTAATCTGACAATTTCTTGTCGTTCGTCATCGACAAGCTGCCACCGTTTTTGCTCTATCGATACGGTAGCACTGTTCTCAATTTTCAGAAGTAGGAGAGAGTGAGGTATGAAAAGATGGTTGCAGTAGTTATAGGTTTGTCCAGGTCATTGCTTCTTATTTTTATTCTAAGCTGCTGCTCAACTAATGAGAAACATACCTCTAGGCCCCAGACAGGGATTGGTCCATAAACTTGGAATAACCATGAAACTAGCAGCGGTCCAAGTGTTCTTGCCAAACTGCCTGACATCAACATAATTCCTTGCATAGTGCCCTTGAATAATTAAATGAGCGAAGACCATTGACGAAATAAAGTGCTTACCTGCCGCCTTGCTCCAAGGATTTTACTGAAGAGCGTATTCATTGAAACGTTTACGATTGGAAAGCAGGCAGCTAATAGCGTACAGTATAGAACGGCATAGAGCCAAAAGTTGACCTATAACTGAGCAGCCAATTTATGTTTTATGCAATAGAAACTTTTACAAAAATTTGGTATGTCTCGAAAAGGCTTAAGCTGAGTCAAAAGTGGAAATTCAAGTCTTAGCGGCTAAGATAAGCCCCTCTCAAAGACAGAGAATGAAGCAAGAAGGCCCGGAGTGAGCCAAGGCCCCCTCAAGATTTGGTGGCAAGCAGCGAGTCTGTGGTGCGAACTCCAAAATTATCGTCCGAGCTTAGATTATTAGGCCATTGAAGGCATCGTTCACCCGAGGGTGATGAGACTATGTTAATTTATAGCGAGACCCATAAGTAAGCAATCACCCAAGTCTCGGTGCAAAAGATGAATTCCAAAGCAGGAAAGTATCAGAAAGTAGACGCGGCCATGCTGGCTCCGCCCAGCAAAGTGGGTGGTCTGAAGATGCAAGCCCGAAATTGGGCGTCATAGTGGACAGAAAATTCGCAAATTTGATGATCACGATGAAAGCAGCATCTATGACAATTCTGGATTTCATGGCATGGCTAATCTAAGTAGGTTGCGCAAAATCTGTAGGAGAGGATAGCGTCTACGATCTAGCATTGGCGAATGCAGGCGAAAGATGCTGGGCCATTTTGAGGCTGTACACTACCCAAAAATTACTAAAGACCAATAAAGCCATACCTCATGCACAGAGATGCACCAGCTGTAGTTGTCCGGATCGCATCCAACACTTGTATTGTCGGAAGTCTCTGAAGCAATGATCTGCATATCTATTGTCCTTGTTGTGCTGAGATCGCTCGTAAAACTGGCCATAGGGCTCAAGAATAGTGCTACAGTGCTCGTTTTGACGCGAAAGTGCTGTCGGCACCACAAATGAACAAAAATAAGCTTCAAATCTTGAATATATCTCTAAAATGTGGCCTCAATCCGCGAATTCCCATTTAGCGTGAAATAACTCGGCGAACCAATTTTTGATGCAGGCTACGCTTGGCTTCCTCATCTCCTTTTTTCACTCTCAAACTTCGAATTTTAGTAATATGTAGCTTACTTTTAGTTTAATCTTAATTTTAGAAGTATATATAGCTTACGGTTTGCTGGAGTAAATTTCAACGTTGAGCCCCATGGATAAGGAAATGTAACGACGTGGTAGAAGAATCCGAGCCCCAACCCGATCATCGTCCAAATTCGTTCACGACCATTCGAAACGCTAAATGTAGTCGAATTATCAACCAATACGTAACCAAGTGGGGAAGGATACTTGGCTGAAGTAGTACTTCCTTATAAATTGTGTACTGGCTTACAAAGCATGGAACGCTGATTCAAATCTGCCTTCGCAGATTTGAATCAGCGTCGCAATAGCTGGTCGATATCTGCAAAGCGCTTCTGCGAGAAGAGCTATGGGAATTTTTCTGAAGCAAATCCTAAACGCTCGGCTACAATGAAATCATTCACAACTATGGTATGTGAGCTCAAATAGGGCCATGATACTGCCAGGGCGCTTTATGCAGTTATTACCTTTATTCAATAAACCTATGCTTCACTCCTTTCAAGTGCCAGAAAGACAACATCTGTTTTACCTTAAATAAAAAATTTTGTTTAAGGTAAAACAGATGTTCTAGATTTTGTTCTCTTACCTTCAATGTACAAGGTTCTGACAAGAGCTTTGGCCCACCGAATAGAGGAAAAGGTAGATAAACGTCTTTCTTTTGAGCAAGCCGGTTTTCGACGAACATTCTCAACTACCTATAACTTGCAAACCATCAACCAACTTACTGAAAAGACCCACGAATACCATCTACCAGTTGCACTTTTTTCCTCGACTTTGAAAAAGCTTTCGATAATATAAATTTCAATGCAATCTGGGAAGCTCTTGCTTACTTTGAAGTAGATAATGATACGATTTTGATGATACAACTATTATATCAAACCGCAACAGCCTCAGTTCAATCAACAATATCAATACTTCTTTCAAAATACATAGAGGAGTCCGTCAAGGCGATGCATTGTCTCCGCTCATTTTCATCACATGTCTGCAATACGCGATCGAATTTATACAATGGGAAGAAGGAGAAGGATATGACATCGATGGAAAGCGTCTACGTTACCGTACTTTTGCAGATGACATTGTACTCATAGGCCTCAGTCCAAGTCATTTGGAATCAATGGCTGTAAAGCTTCTTCGTGCATCTTCTCAAAGTGGACTTCAAATCAATGGCCTTAGAACTAAATGGATGGGCGAAGACAGAGACAACACCTGGACGAGCTCGGTAATCACACTAAACTTCAATGTCATTGAAAGTGTAAATCGCTTCGTATATCTTGGACAGCTAATTCAATGCCCACGCAGTCATGATAAAGAGATTTCCAGACGCATAAGTGCAGCGTGGAATGCATTTGGAAAAGTACGTCAATTTCTCCGCAGTCGAAATGTTGCTGTTCATCTCAAACGTCGTTACTTCAATAGCGTGATACTTCCAACGCTTTTATACGGTTGCGGAACTTGAGCGATGACTAAGAACTTGCTGCTGAAACTTCTTCGATGCCAAAGAGCGATGGAACAATGTTAGGATTTCGCTTGAGAGACCAGAAATCTTTAAAATGGATACGTACTATCACGAAACTAAAAGATGTAGTCGCAATAGCTGGTCGAAGAAAATGGCGATTTGCTGGAAGAATACTTAACAAAGAAGGCGATGAAAGATGGACAGACATGCTTAGGCCCTAAGCAGAGCTCATGCGATTTCGTCGCGTCGCGTCCTATCATTTTGGACAAGTGTTCCATGCTACGCTGTGCAGTGTGTGGGTCCCGACGCGTTTGTGATGGATACGCGGCGCGACGGTCGCGCCACACTTTTCGGCGTTCATGGCTAACCTAGCGATATCGTCGCGATCTTGCCGAATCGGCGCGATGTCGCGTCGCTCGTTTGCGGCGAGCGACGGGGCGACCGTCGCGCCGATCCTGAACTGCTTTTTCGATGTTTTTGTAGTAAGTTGCTGTTTTTTGCATGTTGTGAGTGTTTTTGCATGAAATGTTGCAAATGCCAAGTTATGCCTATCCTTGCTTTGTTTCATGAGGGCTGTTCTCATTTTGCATTTCCTGTCTTTCAATATTTATTTCCCTACATCTCATATCCTAGGCTGCCAAAGAGATCTGTAACAAGCCCTACCCTGTTCGATTCGACACCGCATCGAATACTTGAAGAATGTGCTAACAGTCTACGTAACTCCGAAATATGAGCTTTGCATGACATAATAACAGTATTTTCGTCTATCATGTGCAGCACATGGGAGAGCTTCTAGAGTTGAAAACATCGTTTTGCCGCGTAACGGTTCCTTTGGAGTTTCCGCAGCCACTGGGTCTTGCTGGTAGTTCTTCCCCATTGTAATTAATGTGTCCCAACATTCATTTAATTATGAGCCTTTTACCAGAACCACGATGTCGTTGACTTCTCGTTTTATCGTTGATCATTTGGGTGCATAACGTTGTGATTGTTATCAAGTCGGATTCTAATGTGATAAACAGGGTTGAGCGTGGGGTCAGGCGCGCCCGACCTGGGGGATCGTATTGAGGGTACGACTGAGGGGGGGGGGGGTCGTAATTAAGAATATTTGTTAAGTTGGGGAGATACTGCGAAGGTGAAGAAGAAAAGCGCTAATCAGGTGGATATCGCGACCACATGAAGGAATGACGGTCATAAACAGCATACTGATTGTTCCCATAATGGAAGTTTCAGCCAAAATTCAAATCAACTTCTCTTTTACCTTGACATATGAGGTAAACAAGCTTGCTGTGTGAAATGGGTATTACTTCCATATCAGCATGTCAAATTACCTCCATGCGCTCTCCAAACCATTACCTAATGCAGTTTCTAGCGTTTCTCAACGTCTAAAAAGCGTGATTTTCAAACGTGATCAACTTGGTTTCAGAAGTGAGAAAAGTCAGCTTTTGTATACTCATAACAAAGTAATGTTCTCTACAAGTCTGTGCTATAAATGGGGCTTCATATCGCTTTCAAACACTGAATTAAGAAGTGCTGCCAAAATTCCAACCGGCGCGTTTTTCATGTTGAGTGCTTCAACTTCTCGAATTAACACAAGGCCGAATCACGTCGAATCAAGCTCAAACACTTACTGTGGAGTCTTCGAGGGTTGAGCTAGCGAATCACATAAAACTAGGGTAGAAAAGCCTTTTCGGAAATAAAGTTAATGGGGTCAGGCGCAGCCCCTCAAAAGGTCAGGCCGCCTGAGCTTTTGAGGGGTTGCGCCTGACCCTCTTAACTTGCCCTCAAAATTCAAAAATCGCCTCTTTTTTGATATGAATATTGAGCGCAAAGCCTCTTCTTGCTATATTGAAAATTTGGAGGCAAACACTCCACCCCTGTGAAAATTATAGCTCTGAAAAGAGGACTATCCAGGTCTAAAACTTGCCGTCAAGTTGGGTGTGGTTGTGCAATCGCAGAAAGTCGGGCCTACAGACTTTCAAAATAGAAACCTGCAGTGAAGGCTGTTCTTCTTCAAAATATAACACCCTGAGGACTTGGAGGTGAAGCGGAGGGTCGTTTAGGGGCTTTCACAGGGGGGGGGGAGGTCGTTTTTGAAGGACTTGTGCCTGACCTCTTGCTCAAACCTGGTGATAAACTTCCAAACTTCCTTTGTGTGCTGCTACACCTTTTTTGAATAACAGTGATTTAGTAAAGTTAACGACAGCACTGATTTCCACTAATGAATTAGAGTACGTGCAATGTGTGAAGTGTTGTGCAATTGCATGAAATCGCGTCGGAGGTATGCACGCCTCCGGCGACTGAGCGACTCAGTCGTCGCGTCCCAGTCGCCACTTTCGTGGAAGTCGTCGCGACTGGAGATCGCGCGACTTCGTCGCGTGAGCTCTGCCCAGGGCCTTACACGTTGGATTCCATCCACTGGCCGACGTTTCGGTGATGGAAAACCTAGAACGAGATGGGAAGACGACATCCGTAAGCATTGCAAGATATATAAACCTAATTGTCATTGGCAGGAACTAAGAATGGAATGTGCTGTATAGAGAACACTTGGTATTACATATGCGGTCCCACTACTGACATAATGAAGCCTTACATAATATCATCACGGTCTCTTGCATGAACAATGTAAACCGTTGAGAATGAATAAAAGATAAAGATAAAGATAAAAAATTTGGAATTTTTACCTAAAAAAAAATCCCATAATTCCCCTAAAAAAAAGGGCTTTGCAGATATCGAAAGCAATTTTGGAATGAGCGTTTCATGCTCTATAAGATAATTCACATTTTGTATGGAGCCACTTCGACCTATGTATCCCTCCCTTATAAGAGGCTTGCGTAGGCTTGCTGTCTTGTCAAGGAAGATTGAGGTAGAGCATCTCTACAAATAAACAAAATTGTACTGTACTTACTAATCTCCAAGCTTTACCACGAAACCAGTGTAGACTAGCACACTTGCTGCGCCATTGACGGCTTGTAGAATCCCTAAGAATAATACATAATCAGTTATAAAAGATTAAAAAGCTTGAATTTTGAGACTCAGCTGCCGCGAAGCTCTTGCATTTTCCTCTAACAATAATAGAGAAACGATTTCGCTGTGCTTATCAATACGTAATCAGATTAAGATATCTAACTTACCTACGTTGACGACGGTCTGCGCTGAAGTCCAACCCCACATAGCCATCGCATACATTGACCCAATGCTAAATCAGATCATCACTTCCTCACTGTATTCAAAGCTGAATATTGTTGATTTTCTAATGTCATTTGTGGCTTCTTATGTGGTGTCTGTGCCCTTAATAAGAAAAATTATTTTTCTTCATCGCGTATTTTGCTATGTCCAGTGAAACCAGTCCCTACTTTCATAGCGAAATAGGTTGTCGCGTGATTTTTCATTAGAAATTCTAGAATAGGAATTAGGGAAGTGCTCTAAAACTATATGAAGCAATTGTCCAAAACTTTCCAGAAAAATGTTTCTTTCGTATAGTTTGTATGATTTTATCATATAAAATATAGTTCATTCATTATCTTAGCCGAAAACCTAGAAACCCCAAAATTTCTTTTTTAGCTCTCCGCAGAGGCAATAAACAAAATCTCAAGTTTTTACGATGAGACGGTTTTCATATTTATCCATGTCGCCCTATGCCACCAATTCTTTACTACAAGCAACATTGAAAAGAGCATGACTTTCTTCCGAATATACTGAACTCAGTAAATTCTAAAATTTTGCTGCAAATTTTTTTTTAGAACAGCTAATAAACTCAAGCTCATTGTCGAAATCGATGTTCAAGCTGTGTGATGTACCTTTAGTCAGTCATCTCATTCGTAGTTCTCGTTGTATAATAACTGTTCCACGTTATGAAACCTACGTCTCTAAGTTGGTGATGATGAACATCAAGGTGAATTGAGTGGCAACACAGACGCTTACGGCAAAAACGTCGAATTTGGGCAGTGGGTTGTAGTCATCTGAAATGAAAAAATTAGAAAGTTTGGATAGTGAGGTTTGGCTAATCTTTCAACTTGACAATATGGCTCCTTGATATGTTTGGGCGGAAACAAAGAGTATTAAAACTTTTATTGCCAGCATTGATGTACTTCTCTTCAACCTCTGTGCAAAGCCTGTAGCTAGAACTGGTATCTTTGTAACTAGAATTTCGATATATTCTTTATTCTTGCCTTGCCAAACCACAGCTCTATGTTGCATGCTTAAGGCAGTGTCCCGGCAGATTCGGGTCCTGGGGGATATACGTGTGGTGGGGTTCCTGGTCTCCCCATCGACCTCCAGATGCACTCCGGCTGGGTGATGTTCTCCCTGGGCCGAGAAAATGGCCCTTGAACCGGCGCGCGCAACCCCAACTGGCGCGCGCTTGGACGGCCTTCCCCGCTTGTTCGGCGCGGGACCCCACGAGCGCTCTCCTCCATGATGCATGCTATCCAAAGCAAGAATTACAGGCGGCAGGATCTTCGTCTGAGGACCTCCCCCAACTTTCCATTAGAAATCTCGTCCAAGCTGCTTTTCTTGAATTAGGAAAACGCCCCAAAATCGGCCTTTTCAGCCCGTTCAAAGCTCAAATTCGGATCCTACGTGGCGAAAAGGCCTAAAACATGCAAAAAGGTGGAGGTGCAAAATCTGCCGGGACACTGCCTTCAAGCAAACTGTTCACCATAGCAGTTCCAGCATTTCAAATTTCTGGGATCATCCTGCTCGTTGCTTCGACAGGCTAACAGTCAGCTAAGGTCTCCTTATCATTGTTGAAACCTCAGGCGGTCCTCGCACTTTATTCAAAACCAGTGCGTCACCTCTGCTTCGCAGAGGCTCGCACTGGCCCTACTTTCTGTATGCTTAACTCATTCCCGCATAACAATGATTATGAAACTCACCGAGCCATGCAGGCTATCACGAATGATTCGTAAACAACTACTCATTCCTAGAGCTTTTTTGTGTGAGATCGGTATTTTCACTTGGATGAAACTTTTCTGAGAAAAATTAATGCGAATTTGAGTCGGTTTTTTGAATTTTTATGGCCTGATAGTCGCCATGACGACTATAATCACCGTGGGCTACATCCCCGTGCAAAAATCCTCTCAGAGGATAAGGTAAAACCTTGGCAAACTGAACATTTACGCAACTAACTCTTTTTGGCGCCATTTTCGTAAAGTAGCCAACTTTACTTCAGTTTTCTGGGCTAAAGTCCTTGGCTTCCACATTAGCTTGTCAAACATATCCATGGCTTCGCAAAAAGTGTTGGTACCGGCCCAGTTTTGCTGGTCAGAAGCAGAGTGGATCCGTTTGACACGCAATTTTCAACGGATCCACTTAACGGATCCGCTCATGCTTTTGCATGGTGGGCTTTCTTGCAGGTAGCATTCGCTATGCAAAATTTGGGCTTAGGACGTTGGCTGGAACATGCTCTACGAATTTCGTAACGGACAGACAGACAGACACACACACACACACACACACACACACACACACACACACACACACACACACACACACACACACACAAAAAAACGTAAACACCCTTAGCCCGTTATTATAAGTTATGATTTTCGAAAAGACATTCTTCATGTTTTGTACGTCCGGTCATTAGGGCAATAAGCCTCTGAAAACTTTCAGCTTCATCTTGGCTTTTCAGACCACCTGTTGACAACAAGTCTAATTTCATCACTATCAAAGTTTAGCATAACAGGCATTCAATTCCATCGCTGTCAAGGTCATGGATCTTCCCTTTCTTGCACAATCCGTTAACTTTTACAGCTTACATGAGGTAGCTCCTGGGAACAGTTTTTCTACTTTCAGTCCTCTCATTAAACAACCGCTTCAATGTTGCCACAGTCTTGAACTCCTCTCTCGGTAGCACATGCCTCGAATAATCTCGAAACTATTCTTGTCCACTTTGCCTACAGTCTCATCCTTGCAATTTCTGTTAACTGTACGTGCTTCGGTATCTCCATCATGCTTCTTCCTGCTCCTTGTATGAGTTCTCTGCGGCTTTCTTGCACTTTTGTGACTTTCAGCATGATTAGCATCTTCTTAAAACCCATTTTCATTATGTTGATTGATCGCAAAATTCCGATTGCTTTCTGCGGTCTCTTTTCTCCGAACAAAGCAGCACTCTTGCTCCACGCTACTTCTTCGCCAGTAGCTGCAGAGGTCGTTACAGTTGTGTCCTTACGCTTATGACTATCTTGTGGCGCACTGCAGAGTTCCTGAAGAAAAATAAAAAACGCTGAAAGAACCGCGATGGCTAGAAACTGACACTCTATATAGCGCCCTTTTCCCGCGCAAACAACTGTTTCGAGTATGGGAATACATATCACATCGGCAACATTCTATTAACACTACCAAAACGGTGGCACTACAAGAACGATTTGCCAAGTAAGTGTTCCTTTTTTTGTATTTTCAGAAATTTCAGAGACCATTTGATAAGCATCTGGATGTGCGCAGGTTAGAAGAGGGAATTCCGCGCGCACACTCTGTTGTGTGCAATTTATCGGGCAGCTAGTGAATGAACTACTCTGCATACACATTAAATTTGTCCTAAAAAACGCGCCTACCTCCAGTCTCTTCCTGTAGTCCAGCATAATTCTCTTCCAACAAAATCAGTAGAAGAACAAGTGAAGTTATGCAGATGAGGCATGCGAACCAAGCCGGCGCGGTGTACATATTCACGTGCAATGGGCCAACAACCAAACCCGGGAAACTAATCGGAGCGAAGGCGACCTAAAATGAGGGAGTTTAATAGTACTGCAAGTAAATGCAGGTACTAAGTATTCATTTTGAGAAAAAACATGCAGCGCAAAATTACTGAATTGTGATAAAAATCAGTTCTGTTTTGCCTTAACACCCCTCAGTCATTTCTAAGTTCTGTAACAAGTGGAAAAGAATGACATTGGAACGACGATAAAGTCGACTGCACGAAATTGCCCATATCGCTGTAGGCTAAGCGCACGCGAGCGTGCCTGCAACGCGGCTGCCGAGTGCGATGAGTTGGCGCGCGAATGCCAATGTTAGCTTGCAAGACACATGCTCGCGGACGTTCATCCTGGACGATTCCGTGCAGTGAACTATATAAGCTAGGACTTTAGAGCTTCCTCATGACAAACCCACTGAGATTCCAGGTCCAATCGTCATGCCGATAACGTAGCTGGCTTGAATGAATGTTATGGCCCGAGCACGGTCTTTCAGACTACTAGCTGTCGACGCATATGCTCGCATTACTCCTACCGTACCAGCTCCAAGTCCGATAAAGAACCTAAGTTTTAATTTTCTATGTAAACTAATACCATGGGAATACTCACCGAGCAACCATCATCACCCATCGACGCTCCTTTTCTTTGAATGCTTCCACAAAACAAAATATGACGTTCGAAATTATCATAATAAGAATACCACAGATGAGCGGTTGTCGCACTGCAGAACATGTGCTATCAGAGCTAAATTCTGGCTGCTTATACTCAAAATTCCCACCAGATTTCGAGCGATTCATCCAGAATCCAAAGAGGGGTGAAGCCAAACCTTGGCCCACGGAAAAAGCAGCTGTGATGATACCGAAGAACGTTTCTGAAGCTGTTGGATCTACCTAGAAGAATCATGGCTTCGCTAAGCGACTACGTCTTTTATTTGTTTTCTGAAGCCCTTTAGCTTTCGAAAGTATATGCAAGAAAACCACTGAGATCACAAAATATCGGAGATTGTAGATGAAATTTCGTCACCTTCACACTGCAAATCAGTACACTCAATATGATGCTAGTCGTGCACTCCCAAGTTGGATTTTAAAGCAAATTATGCATCAAAACCCTCGTTACTTCGCATTTTTAACCTTTCATAACTTCTTCCAGATAACGTTGTCGCAGATACGAAGGGTAGATTTGGAATCAGCTCATCAAGACGCATCTAATGATATGCGGTTCATTCCAATTCGCTACCTTAAGTTGGGATCGTTCCCTTGTAAGATGGAGCGCAAATATAAAAGATCTTAAGTGTTTTTGAACAACCAATTTTGGAGGTATTGCACTGTATATTTGCCAAATTTGGACTTTTCATTGCTCATAGCTCTTACCAAAGAACTTTAGTTGCTTTTTAGCTGGTCAAAAACATTTATTTCCGTTTCTATCAAATGTGAGCATTCCGTAAAATCAGTACACTCAATATGATGCTAGTCGTGCACTCCCAAGTTGGATTTTAAAGCAAATTATGCATCAAAACCCTCGTTACTTCGCATTTTTAACCTTTCATAACTTCTTCCAGATAACGTTGTCGCAGATACGGAAGGTAGATTTGGAATCAGCTCATCAAGACGCATCTAATGGTATTCGGTTTAATCCAATTCGCCACCTTAAGTTGGGATCGTTCCCTTGTTAGAACTATGTAAGTTTAGGTCATGTTTAATAATGTAAAAAATGTTCAAAAAGTAAATTTTTGAGCGCTTGGATATTTCTTTTGATTTTTTATTGCATTCACAATCAATATAGTACTATCCAAACAAACCTTGTACTGGCAAATCACGAAAGCTCTAAAGGATGTGAACATACCTGGGTGAGCTTATATTTTCATTAATAGAAGAAGTAGCTGATTCGTCACAGGATCTTGTGACCCTCCTATTATCCCTACATACCAAGGGAAAGTCGTCTTTTTGGAGGGATTAAGATATGGAAGTATCGTATGATTTTCATTCACAAGGTAATAGATTTTTAACCAAAAGCCATCCAGCCAAAAGTAAACCACATTTGTAATTATCTTCCCTTGATAATTAGTTGTGAAAGTGTTTCTGAATAGTACGGTTTGAGTTTCAAAACTTACTTTGTTCAAAAAAGGCCACAATGTGGGGAAAAATATGGAAAACTGCACTCCACAAAACATGCAAATTGCTGTTAAGAGATAGATTGACTTCCACGGAGTTTCAACTTCCTCCCTGAAAATTCAAACTTAACGCACAACTTCAGAATCAGGATTGCTCTATGAAGCATATAGTGTGCAAAAAATTAAAGAGAGCGATAGAGGGTAGAGAGATATGCATGTTTGCAAACTTTTCCTTCGTTCAATCAGTTACATATTCAATTTCGTAAAAAAGCTGATCAGAGAGAGTTGGAGCTGAGGTTTTTCAGTTGCATGGAAAAGCGTATGAAAGAACATATTAAGATTTTAAAAACTGCTGATGAGGCTTTGCAACAAAAAAGACACAAAAACTTACAGGTCCT